AAAAAATTTTTTTTAAAGGTTTTCCTAAAAGGAAACTTTTTTTTTTTTTTTTTTTTTTCTAGTGGGAATCACTATTTCTGTGCACTCTAGTTTTTGTTTCCTTGCACCTAGAAACTATGAAGGTGTCTTTTGTCTCTCTCTCTCAGACACAGGCAAGATTTCATTTTCAGATTCTACTCCAGAAAATGTCATCATAGATGATATTTTTAAGGTATGAACCATGAAAAACAGGGAACTGGAACAGAAACACACATGGCATGTGCCACGCTGCTTCTGTTATCATCCCTACTACACGTTCTATTTTTATATCTCTCTTTTAGCTAGATATGCAGTTGTACTGTATGAAAACCTTTGGCTGTTTTTTCTAAAAATGATGTTGCAGAATAGATTTGTGACCTGCAGTAGTAATCAGAATATTTTAGGTGAAGTAGCTTTATTTAAGATCTAGCCATTTCATTTTGTGTATTTAGGCTTTTTTATGTCTTCTGCTGGGCTTTTACAAGTAATTGGATTATGAATTTCAATCCTATGCATGCACATTTAATTTCCTGGGTTTGGGTTGTCTTTTTTTCCCATTCTGTCTCCTTTGTGAAAGCTGGCTGATCCTCTGTTTAGATCTCCATTTTCAACCTCCCAGGAGAATGAAGTAAAATCACTCTATAATAATGTTGAAGTATACATCACTAACGAAATGTCACTTATGCAGTTCATGCTTCACAATATGAAAAGCTTGAGCCTAAGGCACAGAGACCTAGTTTTGTTTTGGTACGGTTAATTATAAAACTTGTCAGCTGTAGCAGCACAGTGATGTCTGACAGTGAAATGAGCCACCATTGCTCTTACATTTTGGAAAATGTGTTTTGGTTATATAAATGAGGATAAATTAACAATTTAGGAATTTGTGTAACTGAAAAAAATGCTTTGCATCTTTGTCTGGAAAGACTTCAGTAGATTCTATCTATCTGGTTAAGCAACATAATGTGATTGCATTTTAGCATGTGCAGTTTGGCTCAGTATTGCAAAGAGAAAGCCACTTCTACATTCCAGCCAGTGCTGATATATGTATTTTAATTCACATTACTGAAACTACAGAATTACAAAACATGAAGTTACATGGTATAAACTAAACTGTGGTTCAGAAAAAAAAAAGTCAGTCATTGCCAAAACAAAGACTTTTCAAGAAACAGCGATCATTTCTTGTCCCACACCTAGAAAAAGCCTAGGAAAACAGCCGTGCCTTGCAGCTTTTTAGCATGGTAATCCAGGCTGGGCTCTAGCAAACAGAAATCTGAGTCCGGGCACCACAGCGAAGACACATTGCTAGCAGCTGCCTCATTGACATTGTAAAGCCAAGATGCCACCTTCCAGCTGAAGCATCTCGGGTAGGCTCAGCTGCCACACTGTCGCATGAAGTAGGGGAGAATCCAATGATCAGACTTCAAAGGCTTTATACAAAAGGTCAAAAAGACCAAGTTTGCAATGCCGGCAGATCAGTAGTCATGCTAAGACTATTTTCACTGTTTCTCCCTGATTTTATATTTACCATTTCAAAATAAAATTTCTCCAAAAAGTCAATGAAGAAAGCAGATTTCCACATGAATCTTATCCTGCTATTTCTCTCTTTTCACAGTAACTCAAACCTTAGATGTGGTTGGAACAGCAGCACAATGTCGTCATGTGCAAAAGCAGCAGAAGCGAGTTGGGGATTTTTGTCAGCAAGATCAGAAAATAAAGACTGGGGGAGTAGATTCAGGGTTTCCATAGTCCAGGGGACAATATATGAATAACAGGAACAGTCTCTAACATGCCTGATAACGACCAAAATCCTATGCAGAAATAAGCTCCTGCATACTTTTTTCTTTGTAATTTTTTAGGTCAGTTGGCTGTTCTAACCACTGTCATTATCTTGCAAACCCACGTCTTCTACTTTTTTATGTCTTCAGAGACATAATCACTGCTGATGTTTGTTTGCTGTTTCTTGTTACTTTTGTCACCCATAATTTTATGGGTATCCTTTGTTCTGTGTCCTTATGTCATCAGGGATTGCCCCAACTACGGTCATACCGTGTGTCTCCTTCATTTTGCTCTTTGAGCTTATAATTTAATATTATTCATGACTATCAGATCCTCCCACTCGTCTGCTTTCACATAGATATGCAATAATACCAGGACCTAGGCTCTTTAATGTAATATGATTAAATCTACATATTTAAAGGCAGAGTTTTGAAGTCATTCACTAGAAATGTCTAATAAGACAGTTAGGTAGCTGTAAGTTCAAGCATGAATCCTAGCATATTTTCCATGTCTCCTAAGCAATGACAGACAGATGCTAGATACTACATTGTAGCTGGGCATAGCAAATTACTGTGGCTTGAATAGCTTTTGCAAAGGTTTTCACTTACGAAATGACAGTGTTTTAACACTGGGTACTGATTTAATTCAAAGTTCAGATAAACAGAGCATGGTGTCCAGGTTTTAATATAAAAGATCTTTCCTGAGAAATTTCAGAAGACTTATTTATTGTGAATATTTCAGATTCTTCAGGAAAAAATACTACGTACGCTAAGTGGTAAATAAGCTACATTGTCAAGAGCAATAGTTATGAGTTAAAATTTTATCAGTACATTTCCATTTCAAGGTGTAGTTTTTTTCAATAGCATCAAAACAATAAAATTATTGCGTGAGTTTGCCTGCCCTGTTCTAATGACAGACTCAAAAGAGTAGAAACCTGGTACTTTGGGTAACAATCATCAGCACACCACAGGTTACCTGGTGATACCCTTGCCACGACTCTCAACACTAATCTATGATTTATCACGATTTGCCAAGCTGCCAACACTCATTTAAGCAAAATTGAACCAAAGTCGTTTAGGGATTTTTTTTTCTTTTCATTTTACTGCCTACAGTCTTGATGCTTCAAATGAAAAAAAAAATAGATTGTACAACTATAAATACATTTTTCCATGAGGAGAGAAATGCCACTTGTTGTAAGGATGACAGTTTCCCCATCCCCCCAACTCCCTGCCTTTCTAGTCCCATTTCTTTCCCATTACTCAGGGGAAAAATGAATTTTCTGTGTGTTTAGAAAAAAAATGTTTTAATTTAACTTGGAAGGAAAATTGGGTATACAGTAGGAATCCACAGAGAGTACAAGGAGCTGTGCCTGACACTGAGCTTTCTGTTTGGAAGAAATCTTTGCCTGTAACTAAGGGGAGAGATTAAAGAAGAGCATAATTAACGTTAGCATCTTCCACGTGAACACATACAATTACAGTGCTCACAGTGTGTGCTTGTCATAATGTAAAAG